TAGAGACAATAATTGCAAAATATTTTTTTTCTCATTTTTTATAATTTTTTTTAAATATTTGTTAAACTAAAAATTAATGAGAAAATATAATAATGGGTTTAAAAAATAATTAAAAGAAACTTATGTGTTGGGCAAACAAATAATTATATTTATTTTACTAAAACCTAACTAAAGTTTTTTTTTCCAAAAAAATAATGTTTTTTAAAAAAAATAAAATAAAACAATATATTTTTTTTAAATAACTTTTTTCTAAAAAAAATATTTAAAAAAAATATTTTTTTTTTCTAAAAAATTTTTTTTTCTAAAAAAGAATAACTTTTTTTCTAAAAAAATTAATTTTTTTAAAGGCGAAGATAAACAAAAAATAAGAAAATGTAATAAAGAGCTAAAAAAAATATATTTTTTTAAATAAATTTATCATAAAAATTAATAAAAAATGTCTTTAAAAAAATAATTTTATTCCAGAAGACGAAAATACAATATTTATGATTTATTTATTTATTATTTTTCTTTCGAGCAGAACTTGATGATCTGTAATTTTCTTTGAAATTAGTTCTAATAGTTTCAATAAGGTTACAAAAAAAAATTATACCCTCAGCCAGGAGGGTATATATCATTTGATACGGTCAAATCGTGCCTCATCGAAATAGCGGTTTTAGACCCTAGGTCTCTTGTGGACCAAATCTGTTTCAGGATATTTGGAGTCGATCTAGCGATGTCAGTCCATCTGTCTGTCTGGCTGGTGCGCACGATAATTCTTGAATTGGTACTTGGTGGGCTCCTTGTGGTACCTCCCACACAAAGGCTCAACATTTTGAATAACCAAAACGATAATAAAATCCGAAATAAGCATCCGGTTATCTTCATATTACACACATCCCATTATTTCCACTAACACAAGATCTGCTGTGAAGATGGTAGAGATCGGACCATTGCTTCTGATACCTCTCACACATAAGGATTACAATTTGGAATATCGATGAAACTCATAGAATGCGAAATTGATATCCGATTCTATTTATACTTGGCACATCCCATTATTTCTACCAATCCAAGATCTGCCGTGAAAATGGGATATATCGGTCCATTACCTCACTCTAGATTCCGAACGAATTGAAGTGACTGATAAAATTTTACTCAAATATATATTATGTCTGCAGGCCTTTTGGTGTTGAAAATGTAGGCCCACGTTTTGGTATTGCCCCCATATAACGGTACCTCCCGATATTCGGTATTTTTATGATTTTAGCGACAATATTCACTGGAATCGTTTCAAATTTGATATTTGAAGTTCGTAATGGATACTACAGTCTATGACAGAAAATTGTCTGTGCAAGTCCACGTCTTCGTATAGCCCCCTTATAAGGGTACCTTCCGATATTCGATATTTTGATGGCTGTAGCTACATTATTCACCGGAATCGTTTCAAATTTCGTACTGGAAGATCCTAATGGGTACTACAGCCTATGACAAAAATTTTTGTATGTAGGTCCAAGTCTTCGTATAGCCCCCATATAACGATACCTCCCGATATTCGGTATTTTGACGATTATAGCGACATTATTCACCGGAATTGTTCCGAATTTGCTATTTGAAGTTCGTAATGAATACCACAGCCTATTACTGACAATTATCTATGCCGGTCCACGTCTTCGTATAGCCCCCATATAACGGTACCTCCTGATATTCAGTATTTTGATGACTGTAGCCACATTATTCACCGATTTTTTTCTAAGTTTCGCATTTGAATATTGTAATGGCTTATGAAAAAAAAAATACCTCTGCAGGTCCATGTCGTCGTATTGACCCTAATATAACGGCTACATTCGGTATTTCCAAGATTTTAAGGGATTTTATTGTTTTTGAGAATTGCCAAATTCGTTCCAAATGGTGGAGGGTATTCAAAGTTCGGCTCGGCCGAACTTATAGCTTTTTTACTTGTTTTTATCTCACCCTGTATTTATAAATGTAAATAAAGACAAAATAAATATATACAAAAAAAATATATAAAAAAATATCTGTTGGGCAAACTCGGTCTTCCGTTTTTGTTTTGGAATTGAACAAAAAAAAAAAAAAAAAAAAAAAAAAAACAATAAATAAAAAAAATAAAAATTAAATAATTTTCGGTCCAGTCGCCTTGTTCTGAATCCCAATTTTTTATTTATTTTTTTTTCTTGACTGAAATTTGATATTTAATCAAATAACTCAGTGAGTTCCGCTTAAAAAAAACTATTTTTTTAAGGAGAAAATCTTAGGAAGAAACCAAAGACACATGACTTAAAAATATAAAAAAAAAAAAAAAAATATATATATATATATATATATATATATATATATATATATGTGTAAATTTAAAAAAAAATATCTGTTTATATTAAATTTCAAATTATATAATTCCCTAAATTTTTTTTTACAAATTTAGTATAATTTTGATTAATAAAATTAAAAAAAGTTATATAAAAAATTATATTAGAGTCATTTATCATCCTTCCGATATTCCCAAATAAATATAGGTTATTTAAAATGATTTATTTAATTTACTTTAATTACTAATTTTATTTTTCCTTAATTTAAAAAAAATTATTTTATTTCTATTATTATTTGAAGAAAATTTATATTAATTTTTTTTTATATTTAAATTTGACTTAATATTGACTTTACAAACAGTCCATATGTTCAATTTATTTATTTAATTTTTTTTACAATTTAAATGACTGCATAAATGTTCGTTTTCATAGAAGTTGTAAGAATGGTGCGATTCTTTTAATTGTTATTTTTTTTAATAAAATACTTGTTTTTTTATCATTTTTTATTAAAAAATAATTATTTTCATTTCAACTGATTTTCTGGCTTTTAAAATTTCTAAGGCATATTAAAATATTTCTATATAAATTTTAATATTTTTATTTATAATATTTTTGTTTTTTTTTTCTTATTCTACAAAATTATTATTATTATTTTTTTTAATTTTAATACTCAAAATTTATATTTTTTTTTTTGACAATTTATTTTTTTTTTTTTCAATTTTATCAATAGTTGTTGTTTGGTTGTTGTCAGTAAAGTATTGCATTTCAAATTAGTATTGGCAGGAAATTTTCAAGTCTATTTTGGGTGCATTTTGAAAAATAGATTTTCTAGCATTTCTTTGGTTTTGTTTGGTATCGTTTCTCGTTTCGGACTCTGCTCGTTTCTCGTTATCAGCGGTTTTAAAGCTTAAATTTCTGAAATATTTTGGTATATCTCAATTTTTGTGTTTTTTTTAGTTTTTTTTTCGGAGAAATTAATTTCAAAAAAAACAAAAAAAATATATATATATTAGAAATTTAAGCTTTGAAATCGCTGAAAATTTGTCGCAAAAAAAAAAAAAAAAACATTGCAATTTGATAAAGCAAGTCCTAAAATATATAAAAATTTATAAGAAGTAAATCCAAATTTTCGTAGACCTCAGGCTGGATTTAATACTGCAGGAAATGTGGAAAAGCACATAAAATCAGAGGATTATCTTATTTCTGACTTATTTTCGTACTCAACAAAATTTTATAATACATAGGTCACTTTAAAGAAATGTGTGGCAAGAATATTTTTCTAGCGCCTAAAACTAGGCACCACACAACGACTTCTTCTTACGAATACAGCTGATGGAATCTCAAGTTTGCTTAATCATGCAACACTTTATAGGAAAATATCCTGTGAGAGTCAGAGAGGTCAATTTTACCATTTTTTCTTTTTTTTTGGAAATTTTCAGCTCCCAATTGAGCCTAGATTCTTGGTGACCTTGGTCTGGACTTAACATTTTTGGATATTTTTGCAAATCGATTAAAATTAGAGAACAGTTTTTGACAAAAGAGGTTTTCTGTTTTATATCATCAATTTTATAAATGTAATGGAGGAATATAATTTTAGCGCCTAAAAGTAGGCATCACTCAACAAATTCTTGTTACAAAAACAGCTGATGGGATCTCAAGTTTGCTTAATCATGCAACACTCTATAGGAAAATCCCATGTGACAGCCAGAGAGGTCAATTTTACCGTTTTTCTTTTTTTTTTGAAAGTTTTAGCTCCCAAGTGCTTGGGAGCTTGAGATTAACATTCTCACAAATGTTATGGCATTTTTAGGACGCCTTGCGGCCTGAGGATGTTTTTCAAACACCTGGGGTCTAACATATGGTTTTTAGAAACATTCCTCTTCTAAATAAAGAAATTTGTAGGAAATCTGTATATATTTTATCTAAGTAATAGTTTGAAGACATGTAGGAATAACATATTTATATTTACGGCCTGTATGAATAGCCAATATTTTTGTAACGCCTAAAAGTATGCATCATACCACGATTTTTATTATCAAACCAGCTGATGGGTTCTCAAATTTGATTTTTCCTCTGGCAGTGGATAGCAAATTGTTCTACAGCCTCCAAAGATAAAAATTCTCAAAAGGTTTTTGGAAAATTTCAGCTGCCATGTGAGTCTAGGCCTATGTAAACCCTTGTTTGTATTCCAGACTTCTGTGGATCATTCAGGAGCAAATCAATGCTTATATATTATTTTTTTTTTGGAATCTTGCCGTCTATAAAGGGAGGACTTCGGGAAAATGTATAGAATAGTTTGGGTAATATTTGAAAAAAATATTTGTAGGTTTAGAAATAATCTCAATACGGACAGTGTTGAAAATATTTACTTATTCTCTTCATATTCTTCTTATATGTGGAAGGTACATTTGCTTTGAGAAGGTATATTGTTGGGAAAAATGCACTGTATATTTAAAAAACTGGGTCCCTTGATTTTTTTCCACAATTCGGCAGGGCTCTGTAGCCCAGTGTTGCCATATTATTAACATATTTTTTTCGGAACGAAATATTTTTATTTTTTAATTTTTTTATATTTTTTATTTTTCCTCTCCTCCTCTTCTTTAAGCAACATAATTGACCATGATAATATTCGGCTTCTATTTTTTTGTTTGTTTTTTTTTCTCTTAAATTTTTTCTTTACACTCAAAGCCTTAATCTAATAGTAAATCAGTTCATTTTACAATTGAAAAAAACCTACAATTTTTTTTCTTCTTCATCTTCACTCTACTTAACACTACAACATTTGGGGGAAAATAATTCGCATTTACTTAGTTCAACTAGGCATTGGAATCAGATTTGCTGTTTTTTTTTTCTTTTTTTTAAATTAGAAAAAAAACATGGCCGGGATTTACATCACAAAGGTTGTTTTTTTTTTGCATTGCTGGGTGCAGAACAAAAGTGGTCAAGGTGCTGCCAGACTTGACTTAAGATGCCACTAGTTCGGAAACAGAATTAGAACGTCGTCGTTTTGTAATTTGCTTCCAAAGGCGGCGGTTCAGTGACGGTTTGTCCTGAAAAAAAATGTAGAAAAACAAATTAAAAATAAATTTTATTGAAAATTACGTTGGGCGCCATTATTTCTATATTCAACAATGAGTCTAGGTTTATGGACTCCAATGATATATTGAAATATAACAAAGTAAAGAAACTCACAAAAAATAATGTATTTAAATGAAAAATGGTCATATTTCATATTTTTGAAATTACGTTGGGCGCCATTTTTCTTTTTTCTCGTTCTCGATTTTATTCAATAATGAAGGCTTCCCTTCTCCATATTCTAGGACTCTAATGATACTAAAATCCAAAAATTACTCGAAATTAAAAAAAAAATGCATTTAAATGAAAATGGCGCCCAAGGTAAAAAATAACAAGTAAAATTTGAACTATTCCGATAAAAAATTCAATAATTAAAAAAAATGGAAAAATAGTAGGTCATATGAAGGGTCAACATCTCCACATTTAGGGGTTCTATGGTATATTAAAAACTTACAACAAAAAAACGACATTAATTAAAAAAAAAAAAATAGGTAATATTTTTGAAATCACGTTGGGCGCCATTATCATTTTTTTTCATGCTCAATTTTATTCAATAATGAAGGGTTCCCTTCTCCATATTTTAGGACTCTAATGATATTAAAATCTAAAAATGACTCGAAACTCAAAAAAAAAAAAAAAAAAAAAAAAAATATGCATTTAAATGAAACTGGCGCCCAAGGTGTGTTCGATATAAATTTAAAAAATTACAAGTAAAATTCCAACTATTCCAATAAAAACTTCAATAAATATGGAAAAATAGTAGGTCATATTTTTGAAATCACATTGGGCGCCATTATCAATTTTTTTCTCATTCTAGATCTTATTCAATATTGAAGGGTCAACATCTCCACATTTAGGGGTTCTATGGTATATTAAAAACTTAAAACAAAAAACGCCGTTAATTAAAAAAAATATAGGTCATATTTTTGAAATTACGTTGGGCGCCATTATCAATTTTTTTGAAGGGTTCCCTTCTCGATATTTTAGGACTCTAATGATATATCAAAATCCAAGAATTTCTGGAAACTCAAAAAAATTATGCATTTTTATGAAAATGGTGGCCAAGGTGTGTTCGACATAAATTTACAAAATTACAAATAAAATTTGAACTATTCCGATAAAAACTTCAATAATTAAAAAAAAAATGGAAAAATAGTAGGTCATATTTTTGAAATCACGTTGGGCGCCATTATCATTTTTTTTCTCATTCTCAATTTTATTCAATAATGAAGGGTTCCCTTCTCCGTATTTTAGGACTCTATAATAGTAAAATCTTAAAATTACTCGAAACTCAAAAAAAAAAAAAAAAATAAAAAATAAAAAAATGCATTTAAATAAAAATGGCGCCCAAGGTGTGTTCGAAATAAATTTAAAAAATTACAAGTAAAATTTGAACTATTCCGATAAAAAATTCAATAATTACAAAAAAAAAAAAAAAAAAAAAAAATGGAAAAATAGTAGGTCATATTTTTGAAAGCACGTTGGGCGCCATTATCACTTTTTTTCTCGTTCTCGATTTTAATTAATAATGAAGGGACAACCTCTCCACATTTACGGGCTCTATGATATATTAAAAATTTCCAACAAAAAACGACATTAATTAAAAATAAAATGTGGGTCATATTTTTGAAATCACGTTGGGCGCCATTATCAATTTTTTTCTCGTTCTCAATTTTATTCAATAATGAAGGGTTCCCTTCTCCATATTTTTGGACTCTAATGATGTTAAAATCTAAAAATTATTCGAAACTCAAAAAAAAAAAAAAAATGCATTCAAATGAAAATGGCGCCCAAGGTGTGTTCGAATAAAATTACAAAAAATATTAGTAAAATTTGAATTATTTTCAATAAAAAACGCCATTAATTAAAAAAGTGGAAAAAATAGTAGGTCATATTTTTGAAAACACGTTGGGCGCCATTATAACTTTTTTCTCGTCCGCGATCTCATTTAATAATGAAGGGTCAACATCTCCACATTTACGGGTTCTATGATATATTAAAAAATTCCAACAAAAAACGTCAGTAATTAAAAACAAAAAAAAAAGTAGGTCATAATTTTAAAATCATGTTGGGCGCCATTATCAATTTTTTTCTCATTCTAGATCTTATTCATTAATGAAGGGTCAACATCTCCACTTTTGTGGCCTCTAATGTTATATTAACATCTAAAAGTTTCTCGGAACTTAAAAAAATTATGCATTTTAATAAAAATGGCGCCCAAGGTGTGTTCGAAACAATATTACAAGAAATATTAGTAAAATTTGAGTTATTTTCAAAAAAAAAATAAAAATAAAAATAAATAAAAAAATCATTATTTAAAACAAGTAAAAAAAGCTGTAAATTCGGCCTGGCCGAACTTTGAATACCCTCCAGCATTTGGTACAAATTTGGCAATTTTCAAAAAAAATTAAAATCCAATAAAAAATGCTGTTAAAATTTTAAAAATAATAAAATAATAGCTGTTACATTAGGGTCTATACGACGACATGGACCTACATAGGTAACTTTTGTCATAAGCCGGCACACTCAATTTTCTGTCATAGGCTGTAGTATCCATTACGAACTTCAGATGTGGGATTTGAAAACCTACATGGCCCATTTTCTGTCATAGCCTGTGGTATCCATTACGAACTTTAAATACGAAGTTTGACATAATTCCGGTAAACAATGTCGCTAAAATCATCAAAATACCGTAAATCGGAGTTACTCTTATATGGGGGCTATATGAAGACGTGGACCCGCACAGACAATTTTCTCTCATAGGCTGTAGTATCCATTATAATCTTCAAATACCAAATTTGAAACAATTCCGTTGAATAATGTCGCTAAAATCATCAAAATACCGAATATCGGGGGTACTGTTATTTGGGGGCTATACGTGGACCTACATGGCTCATTTTTTGTCCTATTTTGTAGTATCAATTACGAACTTCAAATACTAAGTTTGAAATAGTTCCTGTAAATAATGTCGCTAAAATCATTCAAATACCGAATATCGGGAGGTACCGTTATAGGGGGGCTACACGAAGACGTGAACCTAGATGACCCATTTTCTGTCCAATGTTGTAGTATCCATTAAGAAGTTTGAATACCAAATTTGAAACAATTCCTGTAAATAATGTCGCTAAAATCATCAAAATACCGAATATCGGGGGGTACCGTTATATGGGGGCTATACGAAGACGTGGACCTGCACAGATAATTTTCTGTCTTAGGCTGTAGTATCCATTACGAACTTCAAATGCCAAATTTGAAACAATTCCGGTGAATAATGTCGCTAAAATCATCAAAATACCGAATATCGAGAGGTACCGTTATATGGGGGCTATATGAAAACTTGGACCTACATGACCCATTTACCAACTTAACCTGCCTACTGGCAAAATATACATGTGTGCAAAATTTTAGCCTTCTATCTCAATTTGTTCGAAAGATAGCGTGATTACAACAGACAGACGGACAGACAGACAGACAGACACACAGACAGACAGACGGACATGGCTAAATCGTCTTAGAATTTTACGCTGATCAAGAATATATATACTTTGTTGGGTCTGACGTGAGTATTTCGAGGAGTTACAAACGGAATGACAAAATTAATATACCCTCCATAGTATTGTGGAGGGTATAAAAACGGAAAAATAGTAGGTCATATGAAGCGTCAACATCTCCACATTTACGGGCTCTATGATATATTAATAATTTCCAACAAAAATCATATTTTTGAAATCACGTTGGGCGCCATTATCAATTTTTTCTCGTTCTAGATCTTACATCTCCACATTTATGGTCTCTAATGATATATTAAAATCCAAAAATTTATCGGAACATAAAAATATGCATTTTAATGAAAATGGCGCCCAAGGCGTGTTTGATATCAAATTACCAAAAATAATTGTAAAATTTGAATTATTTCCAAGGAAAGTCATATTTTTCTAAACACGTTTAGCGCTACTGTCACTTTTTTTCTCTCCACATTTATGGACTCTAATGATACATTAAAATCTGCAAATTACTCAAAACTCACAAAATTGTGCATTACAAAAAAATATTTGTAAAATTTGAATTGTCTCCAATAAAAATAATTAAAAAAAGGGGAAAAAGGAGTTAATACTTTTGAAATCACGTTGGGCGCCATTTTCGTTTTTTTTTTTCTCGAACCATTATCACTTTTTTCTCGATCTTATTCAATAATGGAGGGTTCACTTCTTCACATTTATGAATTCTAATAACCTATTAAAATTTAAAAATTACTCGAAATGTAAAAAACTATGAATTTAAATGAAAATGGCGCCCAAGGTGTGTTAAGAAGAAAAATAATAATTGCTAAATATATGAGAAAAATTTTAAATATTTTCAATAAAAACGTCATTGAAAAAAATTAAAAAACGTAAGGTTTTGGTTTTGAGGAACATAATTTAAATCGGTTCCTGGTCTATGCTTCGCGTTGGGCGCCATTTTTTTTAATTTTTAAAATATTTCCAACAAAAATTAAAAAAAAAAAAAACATAATTTAGAAATTGCATTGGGCTCCATTTTGTAATGTTAAGTGTAATAATTTCAAATTTTCAAAATAATTTAAGCATTTTACAGTATTTATTTTAACATAAGAAAATAACAAATATTAAAAAAAAATATTTTTTGCAATCATTTTGTGCGCCATTTTGTATGGTTGATTGTGTCTCCTTAAGAGAACATTATTTTCTATAAGTTTTAATATATTTAAAATTTTTATTTTCAAAACGTCCCTTGACCAGTTTCTTTTATATTTCCTTCACTTTACGTTGGGCGCCATTTTACTAAAACAGGGACTGCAGTAAAAGTGGCTTAAACTAAGGCTTACTCAGGCCGTCCATACTCATTTATGGCTTTTAAAGACGTTTAAAAACTAGTCTCAAACTCTTAACAGACATGTTCGGTCGTATTTTATAGAAAATGGCGCCCAACGTAAGTTTTAACATTTAAACGGTTGAAGAAGGCTTAAAAGAAAAATTACAAGAATAATAGTGATTAATAAATTATCAAAAAAAAAAAAAAAAAAATAAATAAGTAAAAATACGTTGGGCGCCATTTTGTAAGATTGGTTGATTTTGAGGAACATAATTTTTTTATGAAATTTATTTCCAAAAAGGTATTCGGTAACATTCAATAATATCGTAGATATACGTAGGGTGCCATTTTTATGAATAAATGTTGAATACTTCCAACAGAAGATAACAAAAATTGAGAAAAGCCTGGTTGTGGCTTCTAATAACTTCAGCGTTTTGAGGAACATAAGGGTTTTACGTAGTTTATTACCAAAAGTATTCGCGAATTTCTGAACACCAAATCGAATGAAACATATATGTATGGAGCTAGAGCTATATCTGAACCGATTTTTACCAAATTTTAGATTTTAATTCTCGGAAGTGCAACTTTTAACTCACTTGGGGCTGAATTTATCCATTTGGTGCACAGGAAACCTAAAATCGAATGAAGATATATAGGGATAAAATTTGAATCATGTATTGCTAGGCTGTCCCATTTTTGGGAGTTTTGAGAAGATTTTCATACACCCCAGGCAAATATGGCTGATGGCGGCCAACATGAGGGGCCACAGTGGTAAGGGTATAATATGGAGAAGGAAACGAGAACTATGGGTCTATAGTTCCTTTTGGTGATCAGCATATAATCACATTTATTTATATATATATATATATATATATATATATATATATATATATATATATATATATATATATATATATATATATATATATATATATATATATATATATATATATATATATATATATATATATATATATATATATATATATATGTATATACGGAATGACAAAGTTAATATACCCTCCATAGTATGGTGGTGGAGGGTATAAAAACAAAAAAAAAAAATAGGATGGCGCCCAAATGGATTTAGATTTTAAAAAAGTATATATATATATATATATATATATATATATATATATATATATATATATATATATATATATATATATATTTGGCCGCCATCAGCCATACTTGCCTGGGGTGTATGAAAATCTTCTCAAAACTCCCAATAATGGGAGTAAGTACCTTTTTTTAAAATCTAAATCCATGTTGGGCGCCATCCTATTTTTTTTTTTTTTATACCCTCCACCACCATACTATGGAGGGTATATTAACTTTGTCATTCCGTATGTAACTCCTCGAAATACTCATCTCAGACCCAACAAAGTATATATATTCTTGATTAGCGTAAAATTCTAAGTCGATTTAGCGATGTCCGTCTGCCTTTCTGTCTGTCCGTCTATCTGTCTGTTGTAATCACGCTATCTTTCGAACGAATTGAGATAGAAGGCTAAAATTTTGCACTCAGACACGAATTGTCTGAGCAGGTCCACGCATTCATATAGCCCCATATAACAGTACCCCCCGATATTCGGTATTTTGATGATTTTAGCGACATTATTTACCGAAATTATTTCAAATTTGGTATTTGAAGTTCGCAATGGATACTACAGTCTATGCCAGAAAATTGTCTGTGCAGGTTCACGCCATGATTCGGTGTTTTGATGATTTTAGCTACATTATAAACAGATTTTTCTTCAAGTTTCGCATTTAAATACTGTAATAACTTATGACAAAAGTTGCCTATGCAGGTCCACGTCGCCGTATAGGCACTCGGTATTTTTAAGATTTTAACAGAATTTTTAACGGATTTTTTTTTTTGGAAATTGTCAAATTTGTACCAAATGGTGGAGGGTATTAAATGTTCGGCGCGGCCGATCTTACAGCTTTTTTACTTGTTTTAAATCACGTTTGGGCTCCACTTTGAATATGTCATACCTTCCAGGATGATAGTGAACCCTTGGCCAACATTATTATGTGAGAATTTCGATCTAATTCCTTTGCTTTGGGCGCCAGTTTAAATATTTCAATTTTCCATTTTCCCATTGAACTGTTGCGATTTTTCTTTCAATTTTTTAATCTACTATTCAATTTGACGTTTTTTTTTTTTTCATTTTGCGCCAAAATTTTTTTTTAATTCATTCAATTTTTTTATGCCAGGTTCATATGACTTTTTTAAATATCAGAACCCACGTTGGGCACCATTTGTATATATATTTTTTTTTCATTTTGCGCCAACATTGTTCTTAAATTGATAAATTGCTCTAAAATTGATCGACACTTTTATGCCAGGTTCATATGCATTTTTTTAATAACAGAACCCACGTTGGGCGCCATTTATACTCAATATCTATGTTTTATAGATTTTTTTCCCTATCGTAAAAGCCTATGTTCAAATATTTTGTTTAAAAAGCCGTTCTTACGTTGGGCGCCACAATTCAAGTTAACGTTTTTTTTTTCTTTTAAGTCGCGAAAATATTTTATTTAAATTATTCATAATTTTTTTATAGCCAAATTTTTTTTTAAGTTTCTTTTTAAATTCTATGCCTACGTTGGACGCCAACCTTACATTATTTCCACTTCAAATTTTTTTTCACCCATTTTTTTATTTCCCTATCTTTTGAAGCGTCTATTTTCTAATATTTTGTTTAAATGGCCGTTATTACGTTGGGCGCCACTTTTCAAATGAATGATCTTTTTTCTCCTCTCTCTCTCTCCCTATATTATATATAATTTTTTTTTATTTTGCGCCAACATTTTTTTAGATTTATTTTATTTTTTTAATTTTTTAAATATCGGAATCCACGTTGGGCGCCATTTATATATCTTTTATAGATTTTTTTTCCCTATCATAAAAGCCTATATTCAAATATTTTGTTTAAATAGCCGTTCTTACGTTGGGCGCCACAATTCAAGTTAACGTTTTTTTTCTTTCGAAAATATTTTATTTAAATTATTCATCATTTTTTTAAAGCCAAATTTTTTTTAAGTTTTTTTTTTTTTTTTTTAATTTCTAAGCTTACGTTGGGCGCCAACCTTACATTATTTCAACTCCAAAATTTTTTCCACCCATTTTTTAATTTCCTATTTTCTAATATTTTGTTTAAATGGCCGTTCTTATGTTGGGCGCCATTTTTCAAATGAATGATCTTTTTTCCTCTCTCTCTCTCTCTCTCCCTCCCCTTTCTCTGACTCTCCCTCCCATTTCTCTGACTCTCCCTCTCTCTCCCTCCCCTTTCTCTCTCTCTCCCTCCCTCCCTCTCTCTCTCCCCCTCCCCTTTCTCTCTCACTTCTACTTACATTATCCTTGCGTGGCGACATCGGTGTCTGCTTGTGCTGAGGCGTGCTACTAGAATTGGAATCATTAAGCGAGGTTTGTGAGTTATTGGCGCTCGGGGGTATTTCGGAATTGCGACGTTTTATGAAATTTATTCTGAAATGAAATTTTCAATTTTAATAAAAATTCTCTCCTTTAAAAATAGTCTATGGCACTCACAACTTATTAGCCTTGCCCGTTCCATGAGAGCCGTCTCATCGCGACTTATTTTACGCTGGCGTGTATGGCCCTTTTTCGGCGAGCTACCACTGCCACTGCCCAGCTCCTCACTCGCACCGGCCATCGAAGTAGTACTCGTCGTCCTCGTCAGAGGATTGTTCAATGAACTGCTGCCGGTCGCTGTTATTGTTGTTGTGCTGGCCATTATGCGCGTCGACGTCATCGTCATCGTCGTCGTCGTCCTGACTCGTGAGCCACTCCTCAATTGAGACATGCAGTATATCTTCTCGCGTCTCGCTAAGATTTCGAGATCGCTTAGCTTGCTGTCGTCTTTGCTGTTTACGGCGCTGGCGTTCACGTCTCTGTTTCGATCCGCAAATGCAAAATTGCTCCATGTATTTCGATTTGGCTGCAGGTGTTGTTGAACGTCGGCGACACGTACCGAACCAGCGAAGGGCATTGACGAGGCCGCCGGAATTGTTGTGGTCGTCGTGGGAGGCATGGGAATGCCGGTGGTGGGGGTGATTGCACTGCCGTTGTTGTTGTTGCTGCTGCTGAGATGAGGTCGTGGCCTGCGATTCACTGTGGGCGTATCCATCTTCGAGTTTCGCTGTTGAGAGTACGATATGACAGCCTCTTTTGGTTGAACCCGATTCATGGCCGAGCGATTCAATAAATCTCTGCCCGTCAGACGATGAAATGTTGAGAGGTCGTGCCTGGAGGTTGGGAAATATTAATTTTTTTTTTTTTTTGGTATTCCGATTTACTTACACCAGAATAGTTGTTAGATCTGGCCCAGGATCGTAGCTTATCAAATCTTCGTCCCCCATTATATCCTGATTGAGGGCCAAACGCATCTCTAGGCGAGGACTTAAGGCCGAGCCAACTGCTGCGGGCTGTGCACAGGTCGATGTGGAATCTTTTGCGGGTACGTCCGGCGAGCGTTGCATCTCCATTTGCAGTTCCTTGTCTCGTGACGTCATTGTCGTCGTCGTGGCGGCTGTTGTTGTTGTGGTCGTCACCGGTTTGCGTTCGGGTTTCATGGGACATTTCGCCCTCATCTTCGAAGCTGTTGTTGATGATGTGCAGTGTGGCCGATTGGTTTTGCTGCTGTTGGTGCTGCTGTTGTCCATTAAACTGAGCAGTGAGGTCTCGATTATTGTTGATGATAGTCGTTGTTGTGATTCCGCCACTGCCGGCAGCTGCTGCATTGCTTGGCCTGTTGGGGGTTTCATTGAGTCGCATGTGCTGCGGCTTTTGTTGTTTGCGGAATAGTTTCTGGTAACGCAGACATCCTCCACGTTGGAATTTTTCGGTGTCGCTGTCGTCATCTTCGTCTTGGTCGTCGTCGTTGTTGTGCTCGTCATCGTTGCAGTGTGTTGAGGTGCGGGTGTATTTGCCACGATGGGTGTAGCATGGCTGGCGACGCAGGCGTCGACGCCTCTGACACCCACCGAAGAGCCAGTGTCAGCAAAAACGCCAGATTTTCGTTGAGGTTGGGGCTGAAGGGAAGGGAAAGAGAGAGGGAGAGAGAAAGGGTGAGAGAGAGAGAGAGAGAAAAAAAAATAAAATAAAAATTGGGTTTTAAAAATCCGGAG